CGTAAATGGCCCTTCTGTTAGTTCTGTATGGGTTTTTATTCTGCGCTTCAGACTTCGGACTTCGGACTTCAGACTTCAGACTTCAAACATTGGTTCCGAGCTTCGCTAATAGACAACATTGCTTTTGCGAAGCTGGCTAATATGCATTAATTTCAGGCACTTATTCAGTCAAAGCTATTCGACTAAAATGGAGACTGTTGGAATATGATGTTATATGTACAGCTATTTCAATTAAGGTTCTCCCCAAGCAAAGCGCCAAAGCGGAAAAGTCGAATATGAGCGCAAAACGCTTGCTGGGAATCGCTAAAAAATTAATGAATTTAATACTAATGAAAAATAATAAATAAATGTAATAAATAATGGAAACTTTATTTATTTCATAACATACCATAAAACTGTATTTACATTGATAAACCTCGCTCATAAAGGTAGTTTATCGATGACTACTTGAAAAACATTTGGATTATATAAATTTACAAAAATAAGGAATTTAATATCGTTCAAATAAAATTAATAAATTTAAAGTAATAAATTTACGTCATAAATTTAATAAATTTACAGAATAAGGTTCATAATTTTACTGCAGTAATAAATTTACGTGGCATCCACAAACAATATATAGTATTATATGTTTTATCGTCCTGCAAACCTACAAAGAATTCACTGACACATTCCAACAGTCTGCATTTACAGTCTAAATCATTCCGACCATTTTTGACTTTAGTTTGAATAGCTTTGACTGAATAAGTGCCTTAAATATTAGCCAGCTTCGCAAAAGCAATGTTGGCTATTAGCGAAGCTCGGAACCAATGTTTGAAGTCTGAAGTCTGAAGTCCCTTCACGGCTTCCGTAAAAATCGGTAAAAGAAATTATTATGTAGTTTCAAAAGTTTCTTTCAGATTAAATGAGAAAATAAAAAATTATATTGCCATTTCCCTTTAAACTACGACACTTTCTTCTGGAAAAAAATAGGTACTACGCTGTGGCCGTACATGTATCTACTGGAATGGTAGCATCACAGATCAGTTGGTAGCATAAATACTTAGAAAGTATTACTCGGTCCTACATCCAAACCCATTAAAGCTTGAAATAATACACAATGGAATCGGGAAGCAGGCGGAAACCTAACCCACATCCCCCTTATCTCATATCACCACGCCAATTCAGAGGCATGTACCCTCAAATCTGGCTGCGGCCCATGGCTCGGACACACTCCACAGAGAAATCACAATATAGTGAATACAGAATAACACTGTATCTATATGCATGTATAGTTTTAAACATTACCTCCTACACGCATGCCATCGGTATGATTACACGTTTAATAATACAAATTACATTTAATAGCTATATAAATTACATCATACATAAGAAAGTCAAAGTTATATATCATAGTACAACTGATATGTGTTGTTCTGCCACTGGTCTGAAGATAGATAGATAGATAGATAGATAGATAGATAGATAGATAGATAGATAGATAGATAGTGTATTTAAGATTCACCTTGCAGCTGAACAGCTGAATTGCGTGATTTACAAGAGTATATAAAACATTATTTAAAAGATAGAATATGGGTTAATTAGGCATATTTACAAATGGTCATTAAAACGCTTAGTACTAAAAATTACATTAACTTAAGTTACTAGATATAGGAATAAATTTTTTTTTAAATCTTTCTGTATTAGTTTCGAATCGTTCGAACTGTCTATTGTTCCTAAGTTGGTAAACCGACTCGTGTTTGGGAGGCAGTAAATTATGCAGTTTGTGTGTCGGATTGTTAGTAATATTTGTAAAAAGTTTGTTACACATTTCGTCGCGTCTTTGGAACAAAGTTTGAAGATTGGAATATTCTAAAGTTTCGCTATATGAGTTCGCGGGTAAAATTATCTTCAGTGCTCGCTTTTGTACCGTCTCAAGATCTTCTGACAGGAAGGATGGGATTGAGTAATGGAAAACTAACATGGATATGTTATTAGGTTATGGATAGACTAACACAACTCAAGTTTAATCCTCTAGACTTTGATAACAATATTACTAGCGCTCGACATTTTGAAAATTATATGCAGGAAAATCTTGATTGTCTAACATGCAACTATTACCTACCAAACGACTTTCCTGCAATTAATTCTGATAGCAAAAAACTATCAATACTAAACCTGAATATAAGAAGTATAGCAAATAAGTTTGACTCGCTTAGAAATCTACTAAATACTTTAAAACAACCCTTTTCTATAATTAGTTTAACTGAAACTTGGCTTAATGACAAAAATAGTGAAAATTTCAATCTTAGTAATTTCGATTTTATTTGTTCTAACAGGGAAAATAGAAAAGGCGGCGGAGTAGGATTTCCTATTTCAAATAGTTTAAACTACAAACTACGAACTGACCTGAATGTAAACGAGGATGGAATAATTGAAACGCTTTTCATTGAAATTATTTTAACAACTGGTAAAAATATTATCGTTGGTACTATCTATAGACCGCCAAGTGGTAATTTTGAAATGTTTGAAAATAAACTAAATACAATACTAACGGAAGTTGACAAAACAAGGAAAATAACATATTTGACAGGGGATTTTAACATTGATCTTTTGAAATCTGATGATTGTGAATATTCTAGTAGATTTTGTGAGCAACTTTTTACCTCATCGTTTTTTCCACTTATAAATAGACCAACTAGAACTACCCAGCATACAGCTACTTTAATTGATAACATCTTTACAAACGATCTTGAACATATAGATTCAAGCGTGAACGGATTAATCTTCTCAGATATTTCAGATCATCTGCCAATATCTCATATAGCTTGTTTATCCTCAAACAATAATGACCCCAAAACGGGAAATTCACATTTCAAACGAATAGCAAACGAAAATAATCTTGACTTGTTTCTAGCATCTGTGAAAAATATATCATGGGAAAGTACTTTCAAACCCAATGACCCATGTGAATCCTATACGAACTTTCATGATAATTTGAAGATAGCAATCGATAAAAGTTTTCCCTTAGTAAAAATAAAAGACAAATTCGTAAACCACACAAAAAGTCCCTGGATGACAAATGGTATATTTAAGTCCATATCAAAGAAAAATAAACTTTATAAAAAATTTCTTAAAAATCCAACTCACAAAAATGAGACTGACTATAAAAAATACAAAAACAAACTGAATCACGTAATAAAAACCGCAAAAAAGGCCTATTATGAAAAACAATTTGTTAAGTACAAAAATGATACAAAAAAAACATGGCAAACTATCAATGAAGTTCTTAACAGAAATAAAACAAGAAAAAATCTACCTGATACTTTTCTACAAAAGAGTTCAAATAACAATGTTACGAATCCTCAGGAAATTGCTAACAAATTTAACGAATATTTCGTAAATATAGGCCCTCAACTAGCAAAAAAAATTCCAGGAAATGATAACACAACATACGAAAGCTACCTTAACGGTAATTATGCCGAAAGTATGTTTATTGAACCTGTGACAGAATATGAATTGCAAATTGAAATTAATAACTTAAATGAAAATAAAAGTGCAGGACATGATGAAGTAAGTGCGAAAATGATAAAAAAGATTAGTGAAAATATAATCAAGCCTCTAACATATATTTATAATTTATCGTTTCAAACTGGAAAAATACCAAACTTTCCGAAACTAGCTATAGTTAGTCCTATTTATAAAGCTAATGAAAATAATCTTTTTGAAAATTATAGACCTATATCGGTTTTAACTTGCTTTTCTAAATTACTTGAAAAACTTATGCACAAACGACTATATAACTATGTTGAGAAACATCAAATACTTTCAGAACATCAATTTGGTTTTAGAAGGAATAAATCAACCGAACATGCCATTCTTGAGCTAACCGATAAGATTTCGAAGGCAATGGACGAAGGTCTATATACAATAGGTATTTTCCTTGATCTTTCTAAAGCCTTTGACACAGTGAATCACGAAATTCTAATAAAAAAACTTGAACACTACGGAATTAGAGGAATATGTCTACAGTGGTTTACAAATTATTTACAGGAAAGAAGCCAAATTGTCAAATATAAGCAACATAGGCCAAACGAAATGAATGTTACGACTGGAGTCCCACAGGGTTCAATACTTGGACCACTCTTATTTCTAATATACATAAATGATATTGAAAATTGTAGTAACATCCTTTCTTTTGTTTTATATGCTGATGATACAAATGCTCTTTGTTCAAATTCATGTTTAAAAACATTAGCTGACATTATACAAAAGGAAATGAATAAAATAGTGGCATGGCTAACTGCCAATAAATTATCAATCAACCCATCCAAAACAAAATTTATCATTTTTAAATCAAGAAATAAACCATTGAATCAAGAAATTACTCTCAAAATAAATAACAATATTATTAAACAAGCATCTTATGTAACGTTTTTGGGCGTATTAATTGACCACGAATTTTCATGGAAGAACCACATTAGCTCAGTTCAGAAAAATGCAATAAAATCCGCGGGTTTGATTGCAAAATTAAGACATTTTACTAACAAAAACAGTTTGAAATTGGCATATTATACTTTAGTCTATCCATACCTCACGTACGGAAATCTAGTTTGGGGAAATACGTACCCAACCAGGCTTCAAAAGTTACTGAATGTGCAAAAGAAAATTGTTCGACTAATTAGTTTTAAATCCTATATGGAACATTCAAAACCACTATTTTTGGATTTGAAAATCTTGAACATCTACCAAATCAATGATTATTTATGTAGTTTATTCATGTATCGTCGCTACTATTGTCAAAATTTGCCGGACTTTTATAATGATTACTTCAAACAAAATAACGATGTACACAACCATAATACGCGAAATTCTACCAAGTTACATGTGAGTTATAAAAGAACAAACTACCGTATATACACTGTATTCAACAAAGGAATTTCTTTATGGAATTTTCTTGATGACGAAATTAAAAATACTAAAACTTATTTTTCTTTTAAGAGAAAAGCAAAATCCCTTTACTTATTATCTAATTAATGTAAATAAATTATAAAAACCTTAGCAATAGCCTTAGGAACACTAATGATAGTAATGTACTATTTTATTTCTTAGTTTTTTTTTCATCTTTCAATTTGTTATAAATAGTTTCTGCTTGTATATAATTTCTTCTTTCATAGTCTTTTATCACTAGAATACTAAAACTAGGGGCCTTACTATAAAAGTCCAATAGGATTTCCAAAGGTCCCTAGCCCATTATACTACTGTAATTATTTTTTTACTACTTGTATATATTTTGTGGAAAAAAAAAAGTTAATAAAGTTAATGTTGCACTGTCAAAAAAAAAAAAAAAAAAAATATAGTAGTTCAAGAAATGAATAACATTTAAGATGCAAGAAAAATTCTTGTCGGCAGAGCACTCGTCTAGTTTGATCATCTTTTTGCACAGTCAAGTAGACTAGTGAACGAAAACTTGTCACTTTGTTGCCTGACCGCAAGAGCAAATAAAATTTTTCTTGTGAAGGAAAGATTGTCACAGGAGTATATTCATCAGTATGGGCTTTACAAATACTCTGAAGTGAATAGATCACTTTGCGATGTTTCACTGTCATAACCACTGCTACTTTCCTCCTCAACTAAGTTATCTTCCACGACATTAATTTTCTCCGCATCTGTGAGATGTTCGATTTCTTGTAAACGCTGAAAAGTAAAACAAACCTGATAATTTTCAATGACAAGTGTGTAACCCTTTATTTACTATTTCCCACCAAACATAACGTTAATACGCCATGCATAATTCCCTCCTCCCCGTCGACAATAGTTTTTGGAAATGTCGTGGTAACAACCTTTAGCAACCACCAAAATTAGAGATTTCGTAATCAAATTCACGCCTATGAGAAAAGTGATCTACATTTTTCCCTAAAAATTGAACTGTATCTTGATTCGCGATTTAAGCGTAATAATTTTGTAATGATTTTTTAAAAACATCTCAAATATTTCCCTATAGCACCTTGGAAAAGGGCTAAAGAGGCGATGCCTCCCCTCCCGCGTACCTCTCTTGGGCGTCCCTGATTAAGTTACATGCCCTGGATCTAGACTAAATACTCACTCTCATGCAAAACATCAGTTTTTGTCAAGCAAATTTGCATAGGTTTCGATCTCATCAACCAATCACGTTTTACTAGCATGTGCATGCTGATATAGGCTGACCTAATTTTATGATGAAACCTAATAATGCTTGTTGCAAACATTGATGGCATAAAATGCTTTTATCTGCAACTGTTCGGTCTTAGATGTAAACGACAGTACTACCTGTGTGATTTTTGGCAACTCCGTTTTATATCCCAACGCATCTGCCTCATCAAAACTTTTCTTTAGCAATTCTTTCGCATCCTCAAATGTTCCTTTTCTGTAACACATATCGCTTACGACGATCTGGTACTGAATTTTAGACCCACGTGGTATACTGTCAAGGAGCCGATTACGCTTTATAGTCTCCAGGTACTTATCGGCGAGGCGAATGTCGCTTTCTGACACTGTCCGTTGTGTACGTCCAAACAATGAATTCGAATCTAACAGGATCCTTGCAATTCTTAACAATGCGTAAAAACATTTTTTATCACTCACGCGCGGTTTCGAATCCTGCGAACCGATTTCACTCATTTTATGGAAACTGGTTAAAGCGAGTTCTTTTGCCTGTTCGTCCGATTTGGGTAAAATTCCTAGAAATTGGTCGAGATAGCTGCCGTATTGTTCATGGAAACAGGCAAGGCTTTCGATACTGTAAACTAACTGGAAACATTGCTTAGCTTGATCAAGGTATTTTTTTGTGTTTCCTAATTTATGTTTATTTCTTGAAATGTTGCTCAATACGAGAAAAGCTTCTGCGTAGAAAAGTGGGGGAAACTGCGTGTGTCCCGCAAGTTCGTGGCCTTCGCGCGCAAGACGTTGGGCGGCATTCAAATCGTTTCTATATATGGCACATTTTGCTTGTTCTATTTTTACATCCGCTACAATATCAAAATTCCCCTTTTCACGATATATTGCCAACATGTTGTTAGAATATATATCGAACTCTTTAAAATTGCCATTGTCCTCGAAGTGTATAAGATTCGCTTTAATTACTTCGTGGGACCTGTTAGGTGTATAAATTACTTTCGCTGGCTTGCGAAATAGAATGGCTTCGTGATACTGCAGATCTGCTTCGTCAGCATTATTTTCTGACTTGTCAATAACCTCATTTTGTTGTGGTTTCGGAAGGTGACACAGATAGGAACCACTTAAATCATGGCATTCCATTGTGGAAGAGCATTGTCCATTGAATTTTTCCATCAATTTCAATGAGTATCCTAAAAATGACGATTCAAATTAGCAACGGTGGACATGAAAGAAAAGAAAATAGCTCATTTGCATATAAACCAAATAGTGAAATTCGTATTTTTTCATTTTATACTTAATATTAAAGCTTATAGTTTTAATAAGATCATAAATTATAGTTGCCACTGTTTTCACTGCTACCATGATGGCCAGTCACTCATTGTTCGGGCCATAGGTTTATGCAAATACACCCAGAAATTTTCAACTGAAGAATTTTAAAATCAGATAAAAAATTGATCAATAGCCCTATAAGCGTAACTACCATGTTTAATTATGCCAACCAATATTCATACCAATCTATACAGTGAGGGTGGTACAGGAGGTTCAAGAATATTTTCGTGAGCCGTTAAATTGCCAATATTTGTTCACGTGAAATGTGAACTATGACACATTTTTACCCACACAGGCACGGTCAGGGAAGTTCGCACACGCTGGTTCTACAATCAAGGAACTGTATCTATCGGTTTTTATCTTTAACAATCTAGAACAGTTCAACAAAAAATTACAATTTCACCAAATCAAATATCAAGTTAATCTAAATACATGTACTATTTTTTATACTGATTTATTAAGAAGAGCGTAGTTGCGGGGAAATTATTCGCCTTCGACGTTTTAATTTGGCGAACTGTCCTAATTATTCTGATAAAATAAATGCATGCATGATGTGGTTGAAAGATATAATTCCTATGTTTGCGATGTTACTCTGAGTGCATATCCACACCGGGCGAGCTTGAAAAATATGCCCGGCCACGGTGGGATTCGAACCTATACGACCTTTGGAATACTAGCCCAATGCTCTTCCAACTGAGCTACGCGGTCTGGACGGTTCGAGTAAGTGATATTTCGGAACAGTATCTAGTTCCTTCAATACCAATGTGTTCTAGAGTATGAATTCATATTACTAGAACACATTGGTATTGAAGGAACTAGATACTGTTCCGAAATATCACTTACTCGAACCGTCCTGACCGCGTAGCTCAGTTGGAAGAGCATTGGGCTAGTATTCCAAAGGTCGTAGGTTCGAATCCCACCGTGGCCGGGCATATTTTTCAAGCTCGCCCGGTGTGGATATGCACTCAGAGTAACATCGCAAACATATTATTCACCTGAGTACACAACATCAACACAGAAAAAATTGATATAATTCCTGCTAGCAAGATTACAGTATTTTGTTTTCTTCCTAGTACCTGCTTACTAATTCAGCTAAAAGTTTAATCAGGTGTTTAAGAACCAGTTTCATTTGTCAGCCTGAAGTGGTTCTTGTATTTTGGGTGCTTAATTGCCCAAATTTTAGGCTGGTGGTTCTTAACCCACTGGTTCTTTTATGCGGGGATTTACTGTACTGATTATTGATCTAGCACTTCCAAAACCTAAAACAAACTATCTTAAACGGGGTTTTAAGTATACTAGTGGTGCAATGATGGGGAATAATCTTCCTTCTGAGGCGAAAAAGACATCTTCGCTTTACCAATTTAAACGCAGCATGTCCACTATACTCTATAGGCTAGCAGAGACTTAGGATGTGAGTTAAAATAGTTTGTAAGTATATAACACGCCCCATCTGAAAATCAACAGATTGTATTTTACAACCAGGGCCTAGGCTATGTTGTGTATGATCAGCGTGGCTAAATAAATCTGAAAGTAGTAAAGTAAGTACGGTAAGTAATGATCGGCTTTTTGTGTGATTAAATTCAGATCCTGAATATTACAACATATAGCTTCCCTAAAGTATTCGTTTGTATATTTTCGTAGTCAGTAGGTAACATTTATAAACTTGCTGATTTAATTATATTGCGTAGACAGCCGTAGACATGGTGCATTTTGATACAAAATATGCGAAACACTAACCCCCCCCCTCCCCGCGAAAACTTTGACTGACAGCATGATACATGCAGATGTTATAATGTGCCTACTTTTGAGGACTTTTTTCCTTTTTAGCCTTTGACGCACCGAGTACAATTTTAATTTGGCAAAGTAATGTTTCGTTTATCTTCATTCTTCGCAGTATAAATAATGTATATATAGTACTAGCTGGGGTCGGCTGTAGGATAATTCCTATCCAATGGTTAAATGTCCTATCCAATGGTTAAATGTCCTATCCAATGGATAGCTATCTGCCGAATATATATAAAAATGCGTTGTACGAAGCACGGATAGCAGGATGGATAGCTATCCATCGGATAACCTTAAATTAATTTAACCGGAAAAAACCGGATTTTCTGAAATTTCTTATCTCTACGCCAGCTGTTGATCGTATAACTTACTGTGAATTTCACTAACCTCGTCGAAAGGAAGTCAATGTTTGTTTTAAAGTTTTATCGCTTGTTTTCAAGCTATTGCAAAGCCATGGCATTATATAATGGGTAAGTGAGCTCGGTGTACGTCAAGAGCAAAGTAAGTTTCCATGTTTATTTAGTGTCAAAAAAAGAACTTCTAAACGGTATTTGTCCATTTCTATCACAATGGCAATCCCTTTTATATGACACACACATTGTTTTGTCTTCAAACGTCGAGTTTATATCCGCCGGATAGTGGATTTAAACTACCTCCGGACCTCGGATAAATTTATCCAACGGATAGTGCATTTTTATCCGTTGGCTAGCAGCCTAGCGCTATCGGCCAAGCTTCGTACAACACGATTTTCACTGCGGATAAAATTTATCCGCTGGATAGCGACTTAATTATCCACCGGATAGAGTGATTTATCCACCTTTCGTACAACCGGCCCCTGCATGTATATATCTTTGCGTGATTGAACCGAGACACTGGTCACTAGGTCATTAGAGAGTTTACGCTTCGAGTTATACAGCAAACGCCAGGCAAAGAAAAGAAATGCGGTATCAGGCAATATAGAGTAAATGAACCTGATGTTTTAAAACTGCAATGCATGATTATTATTTTGGCACAAGAAAGAAAATACGAAACGAAAACGTTCAACAAAAATTTTGCCAAGAAAGTTCGAACCTGTCGTTCGCCGTTCCCGGAAACGTCAAGCTTAATTAAATTCCCTATAATATATTCTTAAAATAAATCATGCTAACGTAGAGCGTAGACGTACTACACAAAATCATGTGAAATGCCTCCCAAGAGGCATTATTTATTTCTTAAAAGACGTTATAATGCGTCTAGTTTTGAACCGACGAATATTTTTGTCTTCCAGCCTTTGACGCACTAACTAAGGAGTTGTTTTGATTCGGAAGTACGTAACATAACACCAGCCGTTCTTATTACGAACGTACGTATATGTAATTGTAAATACAAATCATTTGACATTTTGTTAAAATTCAGAATTAAAAAGGTAGAAATAAAAAAACGCATTTGTCGTTTACCTACATTATAAAATGCAACTGATAATGCTATAAGGATGCATGATATGACAGGATATTGAAGAGTACTCGGCTGGAATATTGAATTTAAACTTTTGACGTCAAATTGTTATGGTTTTAATATAAATATATTAAAAATGCTGTGTAACTAGACTTTCACAAATTTCATTCAGTTTTTGCAAACTTGTTCCCTTATACCAGTTCTACTGCCTTGCACGAGTTAATCTCGTTTATTATCTATTATTTCATATTTAATATATTTTCTGCCTAATGTCATTGTGGAAAGTTTGCCTCGCGCAACCAAGAATATCGGGCGCGCAGTTTTGGTCACAGGCGTCAGTTCAATATTAATGCGTGGCAGACATGCACCTATAAATTAAGTCCATTCTTACCTCAAATGAAAATATTCCAATCTCGATTTCCCATGCAACAGATTTTTAACGGATGTCGCTGCTGTTTAAAATTTTCCCGATCGCTTTATTTCAGTTTCATTTGCCTTCAATCGATCACGGCATTTAAATTCCCCATTTAAACTACGTAATTTGTAAACACAGCATTCAATAACAATACATCACGTGATCTGTGTTTCAAGTTACATCACAAGAATGATGCTCATTTCCTGTTATTGTGCAGAATTTCTAAAAACACATTGGATCAATAACATTGACATCGTGGATATGTTTGAACATGTTTGATAATGTTTGCTGATGTGTGGCAGGGGGTTCTTCAAAATTTTAATTAAATCATCGTCCAAAAGTTAAACTGTGGGACAGCAATGTTGAGTAGTCTTCTAGCTCCGCAGATATCTCACCCGACGTACTGACCCGAGGAATCGGGTGGTCGGAAAAAGTAATAATTTTTTCAAAACCCATTCGAAGGCTATAAAACCCATAGAGAGGCCTGAGGAGGAGGCTAAACGTTGACAATGTTGTATAAATGTTGTATAATCTCGATTCTCGAGACTTGGACGGTCGGTTGGCACCGCAGGTAACGACTGACGAGGGCTGGCGACGATAACAAAAGGCAGCTTGACAGCTGCTTGAAAAATATAAGTAGATTCGACGTTTCGAGGCGGAGAAAAGACCCAACTAATCTCCCGACGAAGGGCCTTCGCTCGAAACGACGAATCTGCTTAAAATAATTTTCCATCCAAGTTGCAATGTATGTGATCTTAATTATTGCAAAGCAACATCATAGAAACAGACGGGTCATGCACTGCCGTCAGTTTACACAAGTCTTAGCGGATGAGTGCATCTGATTGATGAATGACGCCTATTGACGCGTCAATACATATTATGTATACCTTAAAGGTTACAAATGTGAATTGCGGTCTGCTGGGAAAATATCCAATCTCCGAATCTCGTACCCAGAGAAGTACCAAGCATGACTTGTTCCCAAAGGCCAAAACCATTGTCAGTAAAAATTAAGGTAGGAAACTTATGGCTTGCCGATCTGGACAAAAATACTTCTTTGTAATATATTTATCTGAAATAAATATAACAGATATTGTTTATCTGATATAAATATATTTGCAATATATTTGTCTGATATAAATATATGACTTGTGGGGAAATGTGGAACTTCTTTGCGAGATATACAACTTCTGTTTCAAAAATATACCAAGATTATTTCAAAAATGTACTAGGACTTCTGTTTTAAAAATATGTAACTTTAATGATGCCCGCAAACGGTCAGCGGACAATTTTAAAAATCAAATGGAACTACTTCATGATATTTCTCCCTTAAACCGATTTTCCATTAGGCGGAATTTGGCGCGCGGAACGGAATTTTCTGTCTTGTGATTCCTTAGGTGGAACTAATTAGAAAAGACAAAGAAAAATTCCGCTCCGCGCGCAACATTCCGCCTAGTGGAAAACCGGCTTTAGGGAATTCAAACGTGGAGGAAACGTTGACAAGAATCAGGCAAGAAAAGCCGGAACAAAGTGAATCCTTTATCCTTACTATGAGCAATCGTACATGCTGGTAAGAAGCTTTATCAAGAAATCCATCGAAATATGTTTGTTTCAGAACCTGGTCATAAGATAGCTGAAAGAGTACCCTAAAGGAGCCAAATCGTGTATAGCAGATAGGTGCATGATGGCTTCTACAGTATAAGTACAACACTGTTGTTGAGTCTGAACGTGACTTATATCTCGTTTCCAAGTGTTTGAAGAAGATGAAGTGCGTATATATGTCCCAACGAAGGTGTGCGACAATTAAGCACATGGGTGACCAAAGCTTTTGATTCCAAAAGAACAGTTAGATATTTATTTAAAAAATGCTTGGAGTTTTGGAAAAAAAATTAAGAAGCATATGGTCTACCACGCCTTTGTCGCACACCTTCATTCAACGCCGCGATAGCGACTGGTTACAATGCTTGAAATCTGATATTGTAATTTGCAAAAACTCTTAGTATACTAAAGTATACTATATAGTGTACGATCGATTCTTCGAAAGAGTTTTTGCAAATTACAATATCAGATTTCAAATATTGTAAACAGTCAAATAACCTTCAAAAAAAATGTAAGCTCTAACACCATTGACATGCACAGTAACAAGGGGGAATTTCGTTCTCGACCAATCAGCGCTTTTGTTTACATTTTTGCCCTAAGCCAATCAGAATGCGTAAAACGCTTCATCACATGAAATTTGCAAACAAATATATGGGGTTACCTCAGAGCTCTTCTGCAAGCGGTTTTTTGCTTTTTTGCCATGAAATTCATATATGTTGTTCTTAAAAGAATTCTCCTCAACTTCCTCGTGGCGATTTTTGATTAATTGCGTGATTGCAAAGATATGGGTCTTCAAACTTTGCATTGCGCAA